ATTCCATTTGGCTAATGAATACGAAACGTGATACGCGCCCGGCGATTGATTATTCCGTAATTGCGCCCGAACTGGTGGGCAGTAATCTGAGCTCGGCACATTTCGAACTGTAATTTTCCGTTTTGCAATTACGGCAAATTATCCGTCTCGTGAAACCGTACGCCCGATACGTGTGTATCCTTTATGCGATTTCGTTACGACGAATATGTGAGACTGACTGCGTGTGCCCGTCCAAGCGTGAAAATGGCGATCCTGCCGGTGGTGCGGAATCGATGCGACGACGAATGTAACAAAGGTAACCCGCGATATTTAGTCATGCGTTTACGCCATTCATGTTTCTCTCGATTCCTCTGTATCCTCACATAACAATTCTAACCGAACTCCAGGCAAATAAGTACGTTTAACTTTTTTCTATATTTTTTCCAGGGTTTTTTTTTTTTAATTTGCTCGAAAACACACAAAGACATTCTACGAATTGTCAATATTAACTTCCAATTGTAAAATATGGACAATATTTCTCATAGCATATATTTTTTATTTCAAAGTGTTTTACATCTCTCTTTCTTAAGGTGACAATTAAATTTCGTATTCTCAATACTCAACAAAATCCTTGGGAAGTTACATTGAGATTCTCTTAAGCAATCATGAAAAAATTGAAATAAGATACCAAGAGATGTACATGTTATTATAAAAATATAAGTATTAAATGTGGAAAACGAAATTATTGAAGTGAATATCCTCGACTAATTATAATTCATAATGCAACTTGTATAGTACAAGATTACGGGTGGTACAGCCCGATTACAATTAAGCGTCCACGCAGCAGCCTTTATAACGCACAGTCATTATCGCGGAATTTATTAATCGTCGTCATTACACGCGAAGCGCTACGAGGAATCACCCTAATCGTCCGACAACGAAGCGGCGCTGCAACCACCGGCGCGCAAAATGTGAATCTCTGACCTCGCGATGAAGTTTATTGCCCGGCCGGGCAATAAAGTTTTTATTTCGCGTCTCTCTGTTGACCATATTGCGGTAGATCGTGCAGTTATGCCTCGTACGCGGCGCTCTCCCGCAGGAAACAGGTGCCCGTGTGTAGGTGTGAAGGACGGCTGAGAGTAGACGAGGATTCCCCCGGGGTGGAGCCGAAGGATGAGCGAGTATATTAGATCGCGTGGTTTAATACGTTACGCGGAACATGGTATTTATTAGCGTATGTGAAACGCTCGTCGCACATCACGTGTATCATATACGAGATCCAATTTTAGCCAGTTGAAATTTCGTATCATATGATGAATAGCTGTACTAAGACAATTCTCCAATAGAGACTCTTCTCCAATAAAATCAGAAACAATAAGATATTTTAATTGTACACCGAACGGCTAAATGCACCAAGAAGAGAAAATATAGTCAGGATAATCATCTTCTTGGCACTACAAAGGTATACGGAAAGTGAATTACGCGACCATTTTCTGCGACCGAGGCTCGCCGCGAAACTCGCGTTTTATATGTCGTCGCGTCAAATGTAATGAACGATGTAATGGGCTTTCACGCGCCGAGCTTTATTGCCTAAGCAAGTAATAAAGCTTTTATTTCGCGAGTTGCTTGTTGTGCACAGGTGCCGACGCGCGGGACTCCGAAAGCAATCTAGGATCCCCCCGTGGGAGGGGACTCTGCCGAAGGATGAGTGAGTATATTAGACCGCAGGTTCTAATACGTTATACGGCATACGTACACGCGTCCCATGTTTGTCCCCCTTCCTACGTGGGCTAGGTGCACATAGGCCGGGCTACATACACAGTATTTACTGCACACACGCACGCACGGCCCGATCGGTGTGGTGGATTATATATACGCGCGGCACATACTCGGGATAATAAATATCCTTCGTCCGAGTCAGCATCGGCTCGCTTGATCTTTCATAGCCGCTCGTAAAGCCCCCTCGGGGTGGGCCGTAAAATTTGTCGGGTATTTGAAATATCCTCAAGTCCTCCCCGAAAACTCTTTCCGGCCAAGGATTCACCTCTTGTTCCCTCTCGCGACGCGAAAATCTCGCGCGCAAATCTACGCCGAGTCGCTTTTCCGATATATATGCAACGACGCGATAATAATACGTAGATGGTATTCCGCAGATCCGCGCATTAAAGTCCTCTAATATCCAGATTTTTGGATTAGACAGAGAGAAATCAGATTTGAAGAAAAAATTTTGAAAAATTTGCCAAACAAATTGAAAATTTGAAGAATTTTGCGCAAAAAGCTTTAAACGAATGAACAGAATCATTCGTCATTCAATCGTAAGTGATTTCGGATTTAATGTTGATTAAGAATAAATTTAATGTTAAAGATGTAGTAGGAGACAGATGATGTGGTAAATTAAATTATAACTAAGGAAAAATCAGACTAATATCAATCAAGCGATCCGTAAATAAGAAAAAGAAAAGAAAGAGACTCCCTTAAGATTCCCTATATCGAAAACACGAAGACTCCTTTGATCCTTTGAGAATCGTGACAATCAAAGAAACTCTTAGGGAAGTTCGAGCAGCAGCGCGCGAAGAAATACTCTTGGGAAAATTGCGAATGGCTTATAGTTATAACAATATCGTTTAACTTCCCCTTATTGGAAGATATTGATACGTAGGAAGTGAACGAAATATCGGAGGTAAACAATTTGAGAAGTTGCCTGTGTAGAAAAAAAAGTATAAAAAAGTGTGATAAATAATTTTTTTTGAGGCACACGAGATATATAATATTTCGTTATATTATCTTATATGCGCGTAACAAAGATCATAAGAAAATTTATATGCTAAATTTATATGTTGATTAAACAAATTTTATCTTATTAATTATTTACTTAAAAGTTATAATATGCATTCCGATAATTTTTGCAGTATTTGTATATACGAATCGATAATAGCGTAACTTGTGTTACGCATTCTTGAAAACTGAAAATTCTTAGTTTTATGATAATATACTATTTATGTATACGTTTTATGATAATCTTAGTTTCATGATAATATACTATTTATGTATACGTTTTTATACAAAAAAAAATCAATACATAAATATGCGAGCATTGTCTTTAGAGGAGAGATGTTTGCCCGTCAATGGTTCCTGCTTAAAGGGGGTGGTTTTCCTTTCAAGGTATCACCTCGCGAATCGAACGTAAACCCGATGCTCGTTCGTTCTCCCTCATCGAAACAGACGAGAAGTGGCCGCAGGGGTGAAATCAGAATGCGTGCGTAAGGGCGATCGCGCTGGGAAATTAGCGAAAACGGCGCGCAAGCTACTCGCAGAAACGGGACGGAGGGATGGAAAGGGGGGGGGTGTTCTGACGAGAGCGCAGATTTGTCCCCGGGGGGTACTTACGGATGGGGAGACCGGCAAATTTTGACCCTCCCAGTTACTCGACTCACCCAGCTACGAGATCCCGAATCTGCCGGAGCTACCACGCCCGAGAACATCGGGCCCGAGCCGTGATTTCGATAGACTGGGAAGAGCGATGGACGATTACGTGATCGGATTACGTGGACGCTCTGTGCTCGGTTACACCGTCGACCGAGGTACACGACCGGAAGGTACGTGATGGAAGGAAGTCAAACGTCGCCGCCGCCATTGTCGTGCGACGTGTGCGGAAACGAGAGAAGGACGAATGGATGTTTTGGAATAAGGATCTGCAACCGCAAACTCCAGAAGAGGCATCCAAGAATTAGATTTAGATCGAAATTCACAGTAAATTATTTCATAAATTCGTTTGCAGAACAAAAGAGGAAAAAATAATAATGAGATATTTTAAAATCAAGATACTATCATGCTTTTTGTAATTCATTTTTATGCCAGCTGAAAAAAACACGTTTTTCTTTCAAATCCTCTCATTTAATCGAAAATTCTGCAAGGAGATGTAACATTCCTATGCAATTATCTTCTTTAACTTGTATTTGTAGTTTTAGCCTGCATAGAACCATGGAGGAGATTTTCCGTAGGGACGAGCTATAATTCTAAGGCGCAATGTTATCTCGACGGTTCAGCGTCCGGTAGGTCTAATCGCGACAAATCTGTCGCCGGTCCGACATCCCCTCTGCTTCCGCAAGATTATTATCTCATTTCGTTAGCTGGCGGCGCCTCATTATCGCCGGTAATAAATCAGTCGTTCCTGTCGGATCGAGCGTCATCGAATTTCGATTGCCGCCGATCAACTACCTGCTTCCAATTTTATTAAACGCCACCGGCCAACATCCTGTTGCCTCCGGCGCAATTTTCTGAAACGAAAAACTTTCTAACGAGAGAATAAACCACCGGTAGAAGGATTCATAAATTTTCTATGTCTTATTTTATTTCGGAAATATACTCTTTTTTTTTATTGAAGATAAAAAATATAAATAATTTCCAAAAAAAAAACTTTAAATCCGTAATACATAATCTAATTAAATGATTGAAAAATAGATTAAGTATAATTTCTGTTAACAAAAATATTCGTCGCATACAGGTAACACTGTAATTAATCGCAGAACTGGCACCATAATTGTTAGTATCTTCGTCACGTTGCGAATTATCCATAATTGGCGTTTGCATTAAAGTACGTAATACGCATCTCATAAATAATAATGTCCCATTCATATTAAATAAACCCATCTCCCATAAATTATTTTGCATAAATCGATCGTTTGCGCACTCATCTGCTTCTCGCAGAACATCTCGTCGCGTATTTTTTTATCCCATGTTTTATAAACAGCGATCGAGAAGGACATTTTAACACGGCTCGATACGGCACCGAATAAAAAAATTCCGGCTGTCAATAATTCCTATATTGCTTCTATTCGGCGAAATTTTCGTTGAATTTATGCTACAGATTCTTTCGCGGTACATGTGCTTCATGCACGCATGATCGCGAACATCCGTAGATAGATCGCGACTATAGGTTTTGTTTGTATTAGTAAACACAAACCGCGGTTAACGTACGATGTCCGTAAATTTATTGAAGCGTTTGCGTCGTAAATTTTCAGAGTAAACGCAGTCCATTATCCCGATCTGGCTTGCACGCAAATGCGCGGGCGCTTATGGTGGCAATTCGCACCTACCAATTGCATGCATGGAAACTCGAGAGACAAACTGCCTCGACTGCAATCAAGGTATGTGCCCCCGCTGTCAAATAACGTATTTACTGTGTTGTAATGTCGTTATTAATCCCCGTTACAGCGTATTGTGGCGATTTTGTAATAATTGACTGCACACATCAAGAACTGTTATGTCACGCGGAAACAAAATGTAATTTTTCACGAAATCGTCAGCAGCGAAATTATAATTAGCCACTTGTTTGAGAATTTAACGAATTTATCGTAGATAAATGTGGAAAGTTATAAATTTACGATTGTTAAAAAATCCAACGATTTCGATCATTTTAAATTCAAATATCTCGAAGTTAAATAACATGTAACATCTCACACACAAACGTAGTTTTTTAAAAATTTAAAACTCTTTAAATTTATCAACTGAAATTATTAAATAAATCACAATCACGAATATAAATTATAATAATATTTTTCATTATTATTTGTACTTATTTTCAATGGTAATTTAGTTTAAATTCTAATCGTGTGCTATTCACAATTTAGATGCATCGTTCGAAATATTTTATGATTGCAACAGGTATATATACATATATATATATATATATATATATATATATATATATATATGCCATGTTCTCTTTTTGAGATGCAAAACAAGCAATGAAAAATATTTTTACAATGAAAAATAATTTATTCGCATTGTATTCATAAATCGCACGTTGGCGAGATTCACTTCTCTTCGCTGAATTAATTTGGGCGCGGCCGGGGAACTTTCGGCGGGTAACTTTTAGCTTCGTAAGAAGCATAAACCACGAGATGGAAGCGAGACGTAAAATCTGTTTGCATTATATCATCTCGGAGAGATAGGTGCGTGGGTCCGATCGGGTTGTTACGAGTTTTGCGAGCCCCTCGGTTCTCCTACGTGAACGACGTGGTCGTTACACCGACGATTCGGCGCCCGAGTAGCCGTGCTCAAGTGTGTTCGGCCGCGTTTACACAGTAAATATATCAATGAATTTACGATGCGCGCTGATCCCTAATGGCCCCACAAACAGATCTTCGTCGGGGAATGCGCTTTCGTTCCGTGCTTTCGCTCTCGTCGCGCATGATGACGGCGCGCATTCAAAACTCATCTTCGAATACCGGAGGTAACCCGCGAGATTATGGCAAACGATCGAGTAACGTCGAGCGGAAGCTCATCCCTCATTCGGTCCACGCGGGATCGAACATTTCCGCTTGGATCCTGATTTTCGATTGTGCGCGGTGGACATTTTATCCGCGCAGGCGATGCGGAAAATTCGGGAAGCGATTTCGTCCGGCTGAGCGAAACAGGAGTGCGTTTTAATTGGATGGATTCGGACGGTGATATACATACACACATTTATATATATATATATATATATATATATATATATATATATATATATAAATGTGTGTAAAGCAATTTTAAATGCCAACTAATTGACCTATCTACTTTCCACGACAATCGCGCGTGAGTGACAACGATTTATCGCATCGTATTTTTTCGCAGCACGAATGAAAGCACGGAAAACTACGCGCATCAATTCGTTTGAATCTGAAAGCTCGAGGTAGAAAAAAGGGGCACGTTTCGTAACAAAAGAAATGCAAATATTATAGTTATAGGTTTAATTTTATTCGTGACGAATAACTAAAACAATTTTATATAAATTGAAACGGATTCTCAAATATTATCGTAATAGCTTGATTGCGTTTCGTTTAGATAATTAAATTTATTCTAAAATAACTTTCATATTTTACATTCATTTCTGAAAATGACTGCACTAAAGTGACTGTATATAAAAATACTTTTCCACAGTTTATGTTTGTAATAATATGTCTCTTGTGAAAATATATTTATAAATTTATTAAAATATGGTAACGTTAATATTAGAGCTCTTAACTGTCTGCTCGTCTTAAAATCTAATACCTAAAAACACGACATTTTTTCTAACAAAAGAACTAGGCCCTTATAAAATTAAGATACTTGTGACAGAAGTATTTGTATTGTACCCTGAGCCTGCCTGCATCCTATATACTGCCCGGAACAGAACGCGAAAGTGCATTTAAAATCCGTAATCTCGAAATCGCCACTCGTTTCATTTCGTCCATTTTCTACGGTCGATGCGTCCGATTTCTCGTCGACGAAATACGTTGCTCGTTACGCCCACTTTTATTTGTATACAACGCCGAGCGGATACGAGGCGTCGATATTTTATTATTTTTTTTAATTTCGTTCGCTCCGCGCTCCGCGATAGCGGCAGCGCGAGAAGGCCGGGAAGCGGAAAAAGGAGCTACAAGCGCAAAGCCGAAGCAGCATTAGCTTTTAGCACGCCGGTGGTGCGGGAGGGAGAAATAAAAAGTGGTAAAAAAGCGTGATGTAGCAGGGAAGAGGGTGGGCGGGAGGGGAGGGGAGGGGTGGAGGGGCAGGCGTAGAAGGAGGCGAAAAATCATTTGAAAATTACCGTCGCGCGGCCATTAGCCGCGGACGGCGTCCTGAATTTTTTACCAAGAGGTTTTACTGAGCGACAGCTCGGCCCATTCGCTAGTAAAAAGCATATCCGCACGGTCTCCTTTGCTTCCCGCTGTGTCTTTTGTGAAACGACTAGCTCACGATTAATTTTCAATGAGAATCGCGATTTTCACGGTGTTTAACACTTTTTCAAATAGAAAGGCGACTCATTGTTATTAATAAGGGAAGTATTAATACAAATGATCAATGATAGTTTTTTGTGTACAACTGAAGAGATTTTGTAGAGAAGATGTTCTATGCATTATGTATTAATATTGATATGTTATTTTATATATAACATATATATATATAACATATATATATATATATATATCATATATAATATATATATATATATATATCAATATTATCATATCAATATTAATACATAATGCAGAGAACATCTTATATATATATATATATATATATATATTTGTCACACAAAAGATAAACGATTAAGAATTAATTCTTTTTTAATAGTTTATCTTTTTGTGTGACAAATAAATGAGAGATTTTATTAATTGTCATAAAATATAATTAAAGAATAAGATGTTTTACATTAGTTTCGCTAAAATTTTGAAAAATATTTATAAATAGAACATTGAATTAAGAGGGACATTCTTTTTAGTTTTGTATTTCTACTAATTTCCAGTAGTTCCGCGATACTTTGTAAAATTACATCCGACAGACGCTTTGAACATCAGATTAACATACGTGGCATTTTACCTTCCGTTATTCGAGCATCAATCACGCGAGATGTCGAATACGATTTTTCACGGCGTCGAATCGCGGTTATCGCTTCGGGCTCGACGTAACATATGACGACAGATAAAGCGCCATTTCATTTATACAGTCTCTCGTAATGATCTGTTAGTCCGGACGTGAAAGGCGCGAGGAAGAATGTTTTTTTTTCTTCCCTAAACACGATAGCGATACGGGCGCAATGAACGAAAGCCGAAACACTTAAGGGCTCTAATCAAGATCGTAAATATGTCCGCTACTCGCGTAGTTCCTTTTTTCGTCGCGGGATTGAGAAATTTTGCTTTAGCATCATCGTGTGGCCCTCTTTATCGCCGTCCCTCGGCCTTTAAGAATTTTTTCATCGTACGATTGAGCATAGGAGCTAGAGATTACGAGACGAGATACTCGGGGTGACGGATGGCTCTCCCCGTCTGACAGCTTTTTTTTCGATCAGACATCGGAGACGAACGGTTAGTGCAAGCCGATCAATTCGACAGTTAAATCATCTATGCTGTCCCTAAATTTAAACGTTTTAAAGTTTAAAGCGATCGTTTGGTGCCAAAACTGGAAGAGATACACAAACCTGCGATTGTGCAAGAAAATAAAAATATACATTATCATTTCGTATGTGTATTAATTGAATTATTTAGCTTAACGAGAAAAAACTTTTCAAAAGCTTCGGTATATGTCATCTAGTTATCATTCGATCGCTATTATTAGATCATATACACGCGTAGTCAAGATCACCCGGTGCGTCCATTAATAAATTGACACATACGGATTTCCCATAAGCACGCTGCTTTCCAGTCGACCAAATCTATCAATAACGTAACAACGTTTATGCGCTTTAGGGACGGTTGACAATCCGGAAGAGCCCTGGCATTACCTGCTATCCATCTGCAAGCCATGTGTCCCCTTCCTGGATTGCGAACCGACCCATTGTTGTCCTCGAATAACAGGCTTAATATCCCCACAATTTCTCGAATCGTCCCTTTTACATCACTCTCTCTCTTCTTCCCTTCCCTTCCCTCTCTCTCTCTCTCTCTCTCTCTCGCATACATGATATTCCTCTTTTACCTCTATCCCCTACCTCTCACATACTAGCACACATCACTGACATTTATCCACGTGCGCTTGCTCGCATAAAATAATATACACAATGCAATTGGGAACCGATGCTCAAATTACGAGAGCAGGCGCGAGAGCGCTCGTCCAGAAAATTGCAGCTTATTTTCGCCCGATCATCATGGATAGGAGCGGGAAGGGGGGGGGGGGGCATTCGTTGCCGTCCTGTGTTCGAGCGTTTCGATACGGGCTCTGCGGCCCCTGACGAATCACTAAACTCTTCCTCCCTCTCACGACACACCGTAAGCATACCAGAATACCATCAAGGTTTCCCTGTTCTTCTGCCTGTCTGCCTCGCGGATCCCTTTTTTTGCCGGTTTTCCTGAATGACACACCGTACGACAGACACAATGAATTTGTATCGTGACATTGGAAAATTGCTTTTATTTCACAATTTCTAAAACTGTCAAATTGCCGTAGTCGGTATTGGTGGTGTTGGCAATATCGCCTCGTGTCCCACGGGACGACCGAGCTGCAGTCATTTGGGCTTAGCAAACCCATGGACCCAAATTCAATACATTGCAGGCACTCATATATATTTACAATCCGTAAATATCCATGTACATTCGTTTTTGTGAGTGATAATGCAGTAAATTTGAGGAAAAAAAATACAAAGATACAATCTAATAACAAAAAGAATAATAAAAACTAGGTCCATATACGTGACAGACATAGATTAAGCAGGATAACAAAAAGTTAAAGCTTATCTTTTATTTACATCCCTTTATTTAAAAAAATGTCGCTTTCTAGGTTGATTTTTTGTTATATGTTCACACAAATCTATCTAACCCAAGGACGCATTTCTTAATGCGTAAAATTTAGCAATAAAAAAAAAGTTTTAAATAGTTTACCAGAAATTTAGGAGATGTAGAAATCACCAATGTGATGCGTCGGGCGTATCATGCTTTATAATAAAAAAAAAAGAATAATACCGCTTTTTCAATAAACTGATCAATCTCGTTCCGACTTTCCATGTGTAACAAAAAAAACTGCCGTTTCGATTTTCCGTAT